TGATCAGGTTGGGGAGTTGATGGGCCTTTGGGGATTCTGGTTCAGTGTAGGCGTGGGAAAAAGTTTCTAATTCTGAATATAATATATCCTTATGAGTGTGATATTATGAGGTTGGAATATCTAAACTTGTCTGGCTGGGATTATGGAATTTATTCAGACCTTAACTGCACATGTATATTGTTGTTGGGGACATTGAATGATGATTTTTGGATGAGAATTCTCTATTTGCCATCATTTAAAGCAATTTTGTGTTGAGAACGCCTAGTTCTTTACAGTATGGCTCTTCTCCCAAGCGATTGGCTTCTATATGTTGTGAAGCCTGGCACTCAACATCATGGCTTGACCATTGTATATGCAACAGTGATGGTCTTGGCAGTTATGATGGCATGCAGTTCAGATATTGATTTGGATAAAAATCTGACCACATGCCACTTGTTATTAAATGTAACCTGGGTAGTGTTCCCTTGATTACTTCTTAGGGCCGTCTGTATATACGAGAGAGTGGAATTGTCTAAGCTTACTGTGAGGACATCTGCCCTCCCTTATGCATATACTCGGAGACACAGTTTATCTTGGACATAGGATTCTGCGAGGGATGCTATTTTATGCAGTGATAGGCACTGTACAAATCATGAACATTCTACCAACTGGATTTGTTTTATTGTAAAATTCTGGAAGCCTTATCAAGTTCTGGGAAACCCATGTCAAAACAAGATACGCTCCCCCTGTGGAAAGCCCGGTTGGAATAGGCACTAGGTGGAGGCTCATGCTGAGGCCACGTGCTGCATTCAGCAAAGTTGGGTGGATGCAGCGGAGATGCAGGTGGGGTCCTCTGTTTGAAAAACAAGAAATATGCAAATGCAAGATACAAATACAGTCTGAGGATACATAAAAAAGATGACAGCGTCTTAGGGTGAATCTCTGGCATCTAAGCTCCAAGGACAACCCTGCAGATGACTTTTGGAAGGTGATAAGAATGATGAAGTACAGCAACACTCCCTCCCGTCGGTTGTGGATGGGAGTGAGTGCTCTCAAAATATTTGTCAATTATGGAAAGAATTTTACTTTGTCTCTTTATTGTATTAAGGGAATGCTCCCATTGTAGGTTCTATTTTAAACAATGCAGGTGCAATGTAACGCCACAAGTGGTTTTTATGTTGTCCACAAACTTCTAAGTAAAAGTCATGTGGCTCAGATTATATCACATTGAACACCTCAAATTTGCAAGTAGGAATATGTACCCTCTGCTGGCCCTGTGTTTCACTGGTTCATGGTTCATGGTAGTCTGCCGGAATCTCTTCTGTCCAGTTCTGCTGGTCACTGTTATAAAGACAAGCGGAAAATGACTAGCTCAGCAATATCGTCCTATAGCTTTGCTAGCATCGTTTCCAAAGTTGCTTGAGTCCTGTGATTTAAATCGACTTGAACCTTTTTTAAGTACAAACTTTGAACCAGTTTGGTTTTAAATCTGGCATGGTTACCGACACTTGTATTTTTGTATGAAGGAACTTTTAGTAAATTATCATTGTCAGGGCTCTACATTTGTTGGTGTGTTTTCTAGATGCCTCCCAAGGCTTTTGATGAAGTGATCATTGTGAAATGGTTTTTGAAACTGTCAAAGCGTGGAGTTCCTGGTATCTGATCAGGACTGCTTATTTTTTGGTATTCGGAGCAGACCATTCAGGGTGAAATGGGGGGAGGCTCTTTCTGACTCCTTCAGAGTCTCTAATGGGGTTCGTCAGGGAGGGATTCTCGCTACCATCGTTGTTTAATGTGATACATGGATGACCTTCGGTGAAAACTGATCACTGTACCACAGGATGCAGTGTTGGTTACAAGCAGATATAATCACCTCATGTCCGCAGTCGATCGGGTGGTGTGCAGTCCCTGCAGTGCTGGTCTTCAGCAACTACTTAATGTTTGCTCTCAATTTTGGTTTGGATCATTAATATGCAAATATAACGCTGCCAAAAAAAAAAAAACCCTGGGTAATGATGCGCGTACATAAAGATGCCAGAAAATTATGTTTTCACTGATTTTTTCCTTTCGGAACCTTTGGAATCTGCAGATGAGGTGAAATTACCACGGTCACTACATCACCAGTGACCTTTCTGATGACAAGGACATGCACAGGCAGCTGTGTCAGTTATATGGCCAATCAATATTGCTGCGGGGGTTAGTAAGTTTAGTATGTTGCTTCTCTGAGGTAAAGGTAAATCTACTTTTTAAATCTTACTGCTCACCTATGTACACTGCTTACTTTGGAAGAGTTTTAAAAAGTCCAGTTTGCAGAAACTCAACTGTGGCTATAACAACTTCCTTGAGGCTGCTGCTGAATGTCCTCGGCACAGCAGCGCAAGTTGAGATGTTTGCTTTCTGTGGTGTTCGATCTTGTTCTGCATATCTCGAAAATGTGCAGTTCAGATTTTTGTGTCGTATGAGGAACTCTATTAATGGGATTGTTAAGGACTATCGTCAGCCCCGAGTTCTGCTCATGCTGTTCACCTCCAAATTATGGTACTTAATGGAGGTTTTGACTTTATATGTTTCAGCAGCTGTAATGTTCTCTTTTTGTTTTGGTTTCTTGTATATATTTTTTCTTTTGGTTATTTAACTATGGACCGTGTTTGTATTGTGTCCTTAATAAAGATTTAATAAATATTAAGGACACAAGACAACACGGTACATGTTAAAAACCAAAGAAAAAATATATACAATAAAACAAAACAAAAGAGAACATTACAGCTGTAAACAGTATAAGGCAATACCTCCAGTAAGTCACATAAATTTGGAGGTGAAACAGCAGTGAGCTGAACTCGGGGCTGACGAAGAGTTTAACATTCCATTAATAGAGTTCCTCAGACGACACATAAATCTGAACTGAACATTTTCGAAGAGATGCAGACATTGATCGACAACACAGTTAAGCAAACATCTCACTTGCGTGCTGAGTGCGCCGAGGAACCTTCAAGCAGCAGCCTCAATGTGTTGTTTATAGGCCCACAGTGTGTTTCTGCAAAACTGGACTTTTAAAACTCTTCCAAAGGTTAAGCAGTGTACATAGCGTGAGCAGTAAAGATTTAAAAAGAGTTACCTTTTACCTCAGGAGAGCACATTACTAAACTTCGTCGCCAGCATATTTGAATTGGCCATATAACTGACACAGCTGCTGTGCATGTCCTTGTCATCAGAAAGGTCACTAGGTGATGTAGAGACCGAGGTATTTCACTCTCTGCAGATTCCAAAATGTTTCCGTAAGGATAAAATCAGGGAAAACATTATTCAATGCTCATCTTTGTACGCGCAATCATTACCAGGCTTTTTGCAGCGTTATAGTTGATATTATGATCCAAATCCATATGAGAGCACACATTAAGTAGTTTGCTTGAAGACCAGACTGCTGGGAGCCTGAACACCACCAGATGTCTGCTGTTCTGAGGTGATTATATCTGACTGTAACCACACTGCAGCTGTGGTTACAGGTGTTCTGGTGCACGACAGGTATCCATTGTACACATTAAAACAAAATGGAGAAGAGGAATCCCTCATGACGAACCCAATTAGAGACTCTGAAGGTTGTCAGTAAGAGCCTCCCCCATTTCACCTGCATGGGTCTGTACGATTACCAAAAAATAAGCAGTTGATCTGTTCCCAGGAACTCCACGCTTTGACAGTTTCAAAAACAATTTCTCTGATAAATTATGTCAAAAAGCCTTGGAGGCATCTAGAAAAACACCACAAACTTTTTGTAGGAGCCCTGACAATGATATTTATACTAAAGTTCCTTCAGTTTACAAAATACAAGGGTCTGTACCCATGGCCAGAATTTATAGAACAAACTGGTCTTAAAAGTTGTACTTAAAAAAGGTTCAAGTCTATTTAAATTACTCAGTCTCAATGAACTTTGGACAACGATGCTTAGCCAAGCTATTGGACGATAAGTTAGCTGTGATTAGTTCAGTTGTCTCCTGCTTTGTTCTTTAATAACAGGACCAGCAGAGAGAACTGACAGGGAAGTGATTCAGGCAGACTACCTTTGTACCATGAAATCCAGTGAAACACAGGGCCAGCAGAGTGGTTCAGTATTCTACTTGCAAATTTGAGTGTTCAGATGTGATATTATCTGTCGCCTCATGACTTTTTACTTTTTGAGTTGTCGGACAAACATTAAAAAACCTCTCTTGTGGCGCGTTACTATTGAACACTGCATTGTTATAAAATAGAACTACAAATGGGAGAGATGCTGTTCCCTTATACAATTTAAGAGATCAAAGTAAAATTCTTTCCATAATTGTCAAATATTTTGTGAGCCACCCTCCTTCCACAACCGATGCGGAGGGAGGGTTGCTGTTACTCTTATTCTTATCTACTTCCAAAAGTCACTGCAGGTGTTTGTCTTGGAGCTTAGATGCCTAGAGATTCAGCCCTAAGACGCTGTTCATTCTTTTTTATGTACCTCAGACTGTTTTTGGATCTTGCATTTTGCTTATTTCTTGTTTGCAAACAGAGAGGTCACTCCTGCTCTCCTGCATCCCAAACCAAATGGGGGGGGGGGTTTTGAATGCGCAGGGCCTCAGCCATGAGCCTCACCTACGTGCCTATTCATACCGGCTTTCATCAGGGGGAGAGTTTTCTGTTTTGACAGGGTTTCCCAGAACTTATAAGGGCTTCAGAATTTTACAATAAAACCTATCCCGGCTTGGGTTGAATGTTCATGATTGATCAAAGGCATAAAATAGCATCCCTCGGCAGATATACCAAATTATGTGTTCCCTATGCACATTCAACGGGATTCCGGGCAGTGCTGGGCGTTCAACGCGGCAGAATGGGAGCATTGTTCATAGCTCTGCCCCTAAAGATTCACATCACCCAAGTAACTGTAGGGACACATTCTGAAGGCGCAGTCTTTACGGGCACAATTCAGTCAGCTCCAAAGTCTTCTCTTTGTGTACGGACTGATAGGACTTTGAAACAGAGGTAAGACTTGTTAAAGTTTCTCTATGACGCAGACGGGGGACTCAGTCCAAACGTTTGAGATCCTGGAGCGACACAAGGAAGAGACTTTCCGGTACGTGAGGGTGGAGATTCACGATAACCATGGGCACGATGTGGTCACCTGTGTATACAGCTTCAGGGGTACATGGGAAAATCCCTGCTTCCAGCACAAAAGTGTTCCACCGAGTCAAGATCGCGGCTTTGTCTTGGAGGGATTGCATACCGCTTCTACCAGTCAGCCAGGACAATGTATTATTTAATGAAATTCTGGCTGAGGTTACCCGCCAATGTCTAAGATCAATTCCTTAGAGCCAGAGATGCCAGCAGAAACAGACCCACATGTGACAGTGATTTTAAAAAGGGACCCTAATCTTATTTTGTTCGTAAATTCGTGGGGTATTTTTTTTGTGTTAAATAAAACTCATTGTGACAGATAGTGTTCACCTTGGCAGTTTCTATCAATAATAATCATGCAAAAAGGACATTCGCGGAAATAATTGCAGAGACCGACAGTGACGTACACGTAGGTGTCATTGGGCTGTGTTGATATGCATTTGTAAGCCATAACGGTGTTTATACGGACGTTTTAAACGAGATATTTTTCATTCAGTGATAGACAATACAAGTCAGGGGCTTTATTTATGAGCCCTTGCGTATGTTTTATGACAGTAAATTATGATTTGAAGACTCTGACTCGGTTCACGATGAGGATATCATACTCGCAAGAAGATCTGAAGAATTGGATATTTGCGGACATTAGGGCCGTTTCCACGGGCGGGGTATGGATCTCATGGTCCGACCGGGTCCGACCCTCTCGATCCGGTTGCGGATGCGGTCAGTTTGAGCTCGATGGTCCACCCGAGTGTGTGTAAATATCTAAGTGTTAGCGAAGGTAGCGCTAGGGGGGACGAAGAAGTACATCAGGGACATCACCAGTGCAGAGAAAAGTAAGGATAGCGTAAAAGTGGATACCGTGAAATGAAAGATCCCGGCGTAAAAGTGGACAGAACTGAAAAGTCTGGAGGGGGTTTTGACAACATGGATTGACTCTATTTTTACGGACATCAGCTAACAAGCTCACACCAGCTAACACGTCAATACCCGCAACTCAGAAGCCTCTACTCTGTGTTCCCACTCCAGATGTTGAGTGTGACAGAATGAGTGAGTGTCTTCAATCAAATGCAAACAATGTAGTGTGTATGGCTTTTTCGATGACATGTGTGTCCTGTGGTTCTAAGTCTAAAATATGATGGTATGTGTCATATCTTTATCTTTTACTAAACGTTAGTTAGAGTGAAACATGGATTCATGGTTCAATGTCAGTTGGTGTGTTTTCTCTGAATACTGGGTTGAAACTGGCGCTGGTGTCTTCTCAGTTTTGTTTGGACCGTCGCCTTCTCTGAATAAGTCAAAGATCGTAGGGACTGCTGTTTACACTCTCTCTTTTTGTACTTTCATTGCTACAAAAGACACCCATTTTACAGGTTTATATGTGTCAAAGCGCAGCAGGAGCAATGCCATAAACAGTGAGGCGAGAGCTGCGACCCCTCTAAGTACGTCATCATTTTTCTGGCAATCAGAAGCGTTGATATTCTAAAAGGTTATTTTACTGATTCATTACTTATCTATAAGCAAATACACATTGCAAAAAGGTGGGAAATACTGCGTTAATTGTGTTTTATCAGAAAAAAAAATACGTTTTTAATAATGTTAGTGCCCTTTTAAGCTGTATCTAGATGGGGGACAGGGCGAGGGTCAGGGTTAATGTCGGGTGGTTGTAACTTCTTAATGACACGAATTTCATTTTCTTAGTAGACTTTATTTATCAGATGTAGATTCCATTGAAGATGGGGGTATGACTGGTTCTTGCCCGGCTCTGTAGAATGGAGATTGACAGAAGAAGCGTTCCAGGTGCCGATTACAAACCACAAGACCCCATAACCGGACTGGAATGTCCTCTTCTAGGTCTCGCTCGAGAATCTGAAGCACAACGTCGAGGTCAGTTATGTGCACGCTGGAGTGACACAAGGAGTGAGACTTTCCGCTTTGTGAAGTTGGAGATTCACATTATCTGGCACAGTAAAGTCACCTGTGTGTATAGCTTCAGTGAGCATGGGGAAAATCCCTGCTTCCAGCACCCAAATATCTACAGAGTCTCGAGACACAACTTGCTTAGAGGGGTAGTGGACCGTCTCATCCGTTCAGGTCTAAGATATTGTTATTATTTCATGAAATTCTACTCCTGGGGTTTCCGTCAATGCCTCAGGTCAAACCCATAGAGCCAGAGATGCCAGCAGAAACAGACCCACCTGTGACAATACTGTAACTTGAGCTGGATCGAGATGGGGGACAGGGCAAGGGTCAGGGTTGAGTCGGGTGGTTTGTAACTTTTTATGGGCACGACTTAATTTTTGTTTGTTTCATTTTCTTAGTAGACTTTTATTAATCAGCTGTAGAGTCCATTGAAGAGAAGGGCATGCCTGGTTCTTTCCCATCGCTGTAGAAGGAGATTGACAGCTGTTTAAAGGTGTTCCATGTGACAAAGCCCCAGACCTGACCAGAATGTCCTTCCGCTAGGTCTCGCTCAGAGAATCTAAAGCATGCGGAGGTCAGTCTAAGTGAATACAGGGTCATCTCAGGTTTAATTTTGAATCGGAAAAAAAAACATCTAATCCTATCAGTTTTCTTCTGCTTCATCCATTGCCAGGTCGCAGGGGGCAGCAGTCTAGGCAGAGGACCTCCTATCCACACACGCACTTCCTCCAGTTGAGGTGACTCGGGCATTCCCCTGTATAACTCACCCTATCTCCCAGGGCGCGCCAGCCACTTTGCGGAGGAAAGCAGATTCTCCCCCACTCACCTCTGCCCCCATTTCCTCTCACCCACCTCCCTCACGCCGTCTACCAGCCCAGTGGACATTGCCTTTTCCCCCCTTCCTCACATTTGATTCAGACTCAGAGTCAGACTACTTTATTTATCCCACCAGGGGCAATTCATTTGAGCTAGCACATAAAAAAATAATATAAAAAAATAAAAATTACATCAAAACACAGGAAATAAGTTCTATGACATGAAGTGGAGCCCCATACAAACATATGAACATGAGACAATACAATAAAGCTCAAAGCATCAAAGTCCCACATCACCAACAGCTACAGAAGAGCTCAAGCAGTCTAATAGCAGTTGTGACAATGAAAGAATAATGACATGACCCCTGACTTGTCTCTGCCAGTGGACACTGCCTGTTCCACCTCCTCACTTGTCTCCTGCCCAGTGGGACACTGCCTGTTCCACCTCCTCATCACTTGTCTACGTGCCCAAGTGGACACTGCCTGTTCCACCTCCTCACTGTCTCCTGCCCAGTGGACACTGCAATAATGCATTGGTTTTATATAGCGCTTTTCAGAACACTCAAAGACATGTCATTATTCATTCATTCCATACATGCTGGTGATAAACTACTACTGTAGTCACAGCTGCCCTGGGCCATACTGACAGAAGCAAGGCATTGGCCCTTTTGACCCCCACCAACCTTCACACACACCAGAATCATTTCTAGGCACTGTGGGTGAAGTGTCTTGCCTCCCTAAGGACACAGCAACAGTTTGGCACAGCCGCAGCTGCCGCCACAGTGGAACCTGGTGTTCCCAGATGTTCCCATCACAGTCTAACCAGGCCCTGCCCTGCACAGCTTCAGAGGTCTGACGGGATCTGGCTTTCACATGCAGGGTATGGGCCACAACTCTAGAACCAGACGCGCTGCGTGATTAAAAGTGCAAAAAAGCCAATGATTCATGTGTGGATTGAATAACTTTCCATTGAGTAAACTACAAAAGCCTTTATGTCCTTTACCAGCATTTTGGGATGTGTCTCTCTAGGTCCAGCCTTGAATCCCAGCTCTTTAAAAGTGCACAACATGAAACACACTGGTTACATCGGCCCCTTTTCAAAGTCCCACCCCCTCGTCCTTTTCCCGATCATTAGACCTGATCCATTTGAACCACATGTGCGTCTTGTACTTCAGTCACTACATGGTCTGATCCTTTCTTTCACTGTTTAAAAAAAAAAGCAAACAGACAGACATCTTTGTTTGTCTAGCCGTCACCTCGCCTTTAAAAAACATCATTAGAAGCGATCAATTGTGCGCGGCATATAGGCTATTACCTGCCCGTCCGCCCACGTCCTCAGTCTAGAGAGCTCCTGGCATTTGGGATCCAGTAATGAGAGTGGGAGTGTGTGAAGAAGGACACAAGCACAACAAAAAGGTCACACATAAAGCATGAACCTAAAGGCAGCCAAAATGTAAGTTGTGGCTAATTAAAATTTCTCTTAAAAAGTTCCTGTACGCCGTAACTTTACAGACTTATGCTGTTTGTAATGGCCTTGTTAGCGCATAGAGGATGTCCTTATACACCGGCTTTTCATGTAAATCGTGAAGAATGCCTTGAGAACATGAGCAGGCTGCTTTTTATACATCTTTTTGTTGTGAAGAGAAGGCAAGAACTATGTGGAGGAAAGCATCACAGGTTTGCTAAATCTATTCAACTATAAAATGTATGTAAACGAAAATTGATATAGATTGATTTTAATTGTAATTTGTGGCTTTGAACATTTTCTCGTAGTGGGGGTTATGTGATGGTGGCCAAACGTTAAATATGTAATATTCTGATTTATCGTCACAAACGGTTTTGAACTGAAATTGTTTTGTGTGAATATTGGGCAGAAATGTCTACTTCCATTTGCTCCTTTTGATTCACATTGTATTATATATTATTATGAAAAATAACATTCTTGATTAAAATCCAAGTTTGTATTTGCATCAAAAGCAGATCAGAAATGAGAAACACAAAAAATGCAATAATAACAAATCACACATAGGAGCCATAAGTTCATAGAGAAGGATGACCAATGTCCATAAATGTTAATAAATGTCCTTCAATGTCTCCGATCATACACTGTCTTAGACCCGCTCCTGCATCGGCAAGGAACAACTCAAAAAACCCTTTGGAAAAAAGTGAGAAACCGGGACTCAGGCTGTAGAACGAGGATCCATTTGTTTAGCTTTTAAACATGTTACAACATTGTTCCCCTCATCAATCTCAGACCTGCAGTTGTATATCCATCCCACGCTAATATCAGGAACTTTTTGGGACCAACACATAACTCGCTCCCTCTGTCGCCTGTCTCAGTCCTGTCTCAGTCCCGTCTCAGTCCCGTCTCAGTCCCGTCTCAGTCCCGCCTCAGTCCTGTCTCAGTCCCGTCCTCAGTCAATGCCTCAGTCCTGTCTCAGTCCTGTCTCAGTCCTGGTCTCAGTCCTGTCTCAGTCTGTCTCACAGTCCCGCCTCAGTCCCGTCTCAGTCCTGTCCCAGTCTTGTCTCAGTCTTGTCTCAGTGCTGTCTCAGTCCTGCCTCAGTCCCGTCTCAGTCCAGTCTCAGTCCCGTCTCAGTCCCGTCCCAGTCCCGTCTCAGTCCCCGTCTCAGTCCCGCCTCAGTCCCTGCCTCAGTCCTGCCTCAGTCCTGTCTCAGTCCCGTCTCAGTCCCGTCTCAGTCCTGTCCCAGTCCTGCCTCAGTCCTGTCTCAGTCCTGTCTCAGCTCCTGTCCAGTCCTGGTCTCAGTCCTGCACTCAGTCCTGGCTCAGTCCAGTCTCAGTCCGTCTCAGTCCCGTCTCAGTCCTGCCTCAGTCCTGCCTCAGTCCTGCCTCAGTCCTGTCTCAGTCCCGGTCTCAGTCCCGTCTCAGTCACTGTCCCACGTCCTGCCTCAGTCCTGTCTCAGTCTGTCTCGTTCCTGTCCCAGTCCTGTCTCAGTCCTGCTCTCAGTCCTGCCTTCAGTCCTGCCTCAGTCCCGTCTCAGTCTGTCCCAGTCTGTGTCTCAGTCTTGTCTCAGTGCTGTCTCAGTCCTGCCTCAGTCCCGTCTCAGTCCTGTCTCAGTCCCGTCTCAGTCCCGTCTCAGTCCCGTCTCAGTCCCGTCTCAGTCCAGTCTCAGTCCCGTCTCAGTCCCGTCTCAGTCCCGTCTCAGTCCCGCCTCAGTCCTGTCTCAGTCCTGTCTCAGTCCCGTCTCAGTCCTGTCCTCAGTCCTGTCCCAGTCCTGTCTCAGTCCTGCCTCTGGTCCTGCCTCAGTCCTGTCTCAGTCCTGTCTCAGTCCTGTCCTCAGTCCTGTCCTCAGTCCTGTCTCAGTCCTGTCTCAGTCCTGTCTCAGTCTTGTCTCAGTGCGCCTCAGTCCTGTCTCAGTCCTGTCTCAGTCCCGTCTCAGTCCTCGTCCCAGTCCGTCTCAGTCCTGTCTCAGTCCGGCCTCAGTCCTGCCTCAGTCCTGTCTCAGTCCTGTCTCAGTCCCGTCTCAGTCCTGTCTCAGTCCTGTCTCAATCCCGTCTCAGTCCTGTCTCAGTCCGTCTCAGTCCTGTCTCAGTCCTGTCTCAACAGAATGCAAGTGTATTATACAGAGCGGAGGCATGAAAGGGAGACCTCCAATCACAGCTGCCACGGATGTGCTTGTAGCTGTGGCCTTCAGATAGACAAAAACAATGGGAAAAGTGTACTGGCTTCTGCAAAACATTGATAGATTGATGAGTTTAACTTTAAACAAAAGTTGCTTAAAAGTGTTATGAAATCTCACACATTCATTAACCTCTTAAAACCCGCCTCATTTTTGGTTTGTGCACAAAAGTTGGGCATACCCAAATGTCTTTGCTTATTTAAAAACACATCTTACATCTCACATGCTTGTGTGATGCATCATTTTAAAGCTAGAGCCTTCTAGTTTATGTAAAAAAACACTAAAATAATGTTTGTCATTCCTATTTCCCTCTGCATCCTTTGAAGTTTGGGGAAAAAAAACAATGTTTTTTAGCCTCGCCTAACATTTTCAATTTCTAAAGGCCCTAAAAAAGGCATACTTCATTGTAAGTTCACAATATTCAAACCCTCTGTTCATTGTGTTGTTGACAACAACTGTCTAAAGTTTCAGACTTCTAAGTTTTATAGTTTTTATGCAGTTTCTCCTTTTCATCAAGTAATGCACATTTGGCACAATTTGGCACAAGTGTGCCAAAACGTGCCAAATATCTTTACTTACATTTAATCATCATAAAAACAATATTTTTTATTATTGGTACTTATAAGTTACTAATCTATGTGTGTTTTTTTTTTAAATGTCAAAGTTATTTTTTTATGAGTGTAAATTCATTGCAGCTTCGAGAGCGTCTTTTGGCTGCCATTACGCACAATTCTACAGGCACAACATAAGACAGGACACCATTGTCCCACCCCTTGCTCGAAAGCTTTCCTCATTGGCTACACGGACATGTAAATCAAACATCCCGGAAATAGAAGCAAACAAGAAGGGAAGACAACAAAGATCAGTGATCCATGCGCAAACAGCAGCGCTAGCTGTACTCGCGGGAGTTCTTGCAGACTAGGGATGTAAAAAACTATGAATTTTCATGACCGACCACCGAGCCTCATTAACCGGTTGAAACCGGTTAACCGCGTAGTTTAAAATAGTCCACGTTCTTTGAAATAACAGCCATTTCGAGCCGCGTACTTTTCATATGTGCAGCTCTGCGTTCTACTGGATCAGAGCCAAGACAGCGGCGCCAAAACCCGCAACAGCTCCGGCACCTTTGCGCACAGAGAACTGCTTTTTTAATCTTCCCATTCTGCTGTGCTGCGGGTTAATACCAAAACTTTCTAGCAGCAAACGACGGCTCGTTCACATGGTCAGAGCAGCGAGTGACGAGCCGCGTCTCACAGGTCTTCACAAAAGTTTAAATACAAGTGATGTGTGTGGAGCTGATGCCAAGGACCATAAACACAAACATGTTTCCCCTACAGCAAAACATGTAGGGGAAAGGGAGCCGCGTATTTGCGCGAATCCTTTGGGCTCCGTGACACAGAGGAGCGCGACAGACCGGTATGTGTGTGTGTATGTGTGTGTGTATGTATATGTGTGTGTGTGTGTAAATGTAAGCTCCAATGTAGTTCTGACCCGCGCCAGTGTGCAACTTTGACGGTAACAGAGGGGAGAGATGATGCGTGTGGATGTTACGTATGGAGAGGGGGAAAGTGTGTGTGTGTGTGTGCGCGCGCGTGCACGCATGCGTGTGTGCATATGTGGCTCGTGCGGCGTGAGAGTCGTCCCGGAGTTTATAATACATGGGCGCACACAGCTAGATACAGACCCGCTCGTCACACCGTGCAAATAGGGCTTAAAATAGCCTTATTAAGAGACCTCCCCTCTCCCCGTTTTCTCTTTTGTAACCGACAGCTTTGACCGGTTAACGCTGTGACGGTCAACCACCGGTTAACCGGTCACCGATTTACATCCCTATTGCAGACCCAAAAATTGGTCTAGCTTTTCGGGAGTAGTCTCATTTGAAAGATAAGG